CCTGGGCCCCCCCCCCCCCCCCAGCAGCCCGCCTCTCCCTGCAGCTAGCCCAACCTCCAGCCTTTGTCCTGCTTCCCGGGCAGGTGTCACCTGGTCACACGCCCCCTCCCAGGCTCATGACAGAGAGCATCAGCCATGGTGTCCGGGCCCGTCACCCTCCGGGTATGTGTGCAGTGCCCAGGGAAACTGAGGCACACACACGGGGGCCCCCCCCCCCCCCCCAGCAGCCCGCCTCTCCCTGCAGCTAGCCCAACCTCCAGCCTTTGTCCTGCTTCCCGGGCAGGTGTCACCTGGTCACACGCCCCCTCCCAGGCTCATGACAGAGAGCATCAGCCATGGTGTCCGGGCCCGTCACCCTCCGGGTATGTGTGCAGTGCCCAGGGAAACTGAGGCACACACACGGGTTTACTATAGGGCAGCAGAACTCACATTCCATCCCCACTTTGTCGCACAGGGTGAGGCATCCCTCCATTCCTCTGCATGGAACGTTATTGTAATTCCATGGCCGACTGTCGGACTCGCACCGACAGCCCCGTGGCCTGCTTGTTCGGGAGGTGTCGCTGCGACTACCGGGCTGCCAAAGGCACTCAGCACCCCCTCTGGGATGGCTGGAGCCCTGGCTGCTAGCAGGCCCGGAGAGCCCTCTGCCCGTCCCCATGCGGGCGTTACTCATCGGCCTGCCCTCCGGCCCGACGGACGAGCAGTGCAGCTGCAGGGAAGTCAGGAAAGGGCACGATTCGCACCCGGGTGTCCAGCTAGATTGTTGCACACGCTGGTAGAAATCAGCCTCCTTCCGCAGACTGGCGCTAGGCCCGTGGCTGCCCCCAGCCTGGCACGCCCCATGCAGCGGCCGGGTGCCGGTGTCTGGATTGTCACGTGGATCGTGCACCACAGGCCCTGTGCTAGCTGCCTGCGTCCCGGAGCTGGGAGCATGGGGATGCAAAAACTCCCCCGGACACGCACCTTAAATGCCTTCTGCAGTTACGTGCCCTTCGGGACCTGGGACTCTGCCCTGGACACGCGCCCGGCTGCTCTGTGGCTTCGGGTGTGCTCAGAGGTGCCGACGTGGCCCGAGGGGCCCGATCCAGCGGGTGTGCTCAGAGGTGCCGACGTGGCCCGAGGGGCCCGATCCAGCGGGTGTGCTCAGAGGTGCCGACGTGGCCCGAGGGGCCCGATCCAGCGGGTGTGCTCAGAGGTGCCGACGTGGCCCGAGGGGCCCGATCCAGCGGGTGTGCTCAGAGGTGCCGACGTGGCCCGAGGGGCCCGATCCAGCGGGTGTGCTCAGAGGTGCCGACGTGGCCCGAGGGGCCCGATCCAGCGGGTGTGCTCAGAGGTGCCGACGTGGCCCGAGGGGCCCGATCCAGCGGGTGTGCTCAGAGGTGCCGACGTGGCCCGAGGGGCCCGATCCAGCGGGTGTGCTCAGAGGTGCCGACGTGGCCCGAGGGGCCCGATCCAGCGGGTGTGCTCAGAGGTGCCGACGTGGCCCGAGGGGCCCGATCCAGCGGGTGTGCTCAGAGGTGCCGACGTGGCCCGAGGGGCCCGATCCAGCGGGTGTGCTCAGAGGTGCCGACGTGGCCCGAGGGGCCCGATCCAGCGGGTGTGCTCAGAGGTGCCGACGTGGCCCGAGGGGCCCGATCCAGCGGGTGTGCTCAGAGGTGCCGACGTGGCCCGAGGGGCCCGATCCAGCGGGTGTGCTCAGAGGTGCCGACGTGGCCCGAGGGGCCCGATCCAGCGGGTGTGCTCAGAGGTGCTGACGTGGGGGGTGTGCACAGAGGCGCTGATGGGAATGGGCGTCCCTTGGGTTAGCTTAGCCAAGGTCGCGGGGGAGGAGGAGAGTCTCCATCAGAGCGTGTAGCCCTGTGGTGAGAGCCCTCACCTGGGCCGGGGAGGCCCGTGGCTTGGATGGGATTGGAGCAGATAAGGTGGCAGCATCTTCTGGTGCTTGGCGCGGGGAAGAGGCCTCTGGAAAATCCCAGCCAGGCAGCTGCAATGGGGCAGCCCGGTGGAATCCCTGGCGTTTCACGGAACTGTGCTTTCAAATTCAGCTCCATTCCCACCTCGCGTGACCCTGCATTAGTTATGTCACATGCTCCAGGGGGCTGCTCGAGCATTTATAACTGCCCTTAATGCCGGGCGGCTCCAGGCCTTCGGGACACGGAGGTATTTTTGCTCGGTCTAATCTGTCTGCCCCATTTTCTAGCGCAATCCCATGGCTCGCTGGCCTGCGACAGCTGCAGCAGGGAGAGCCCAGGGCAGTCTTGCTCTCGCCAGGTTAGGGCCCAGCCCGCAAACCCTGCGCAGCGGGCACATGAGGAGCCGCCTGGACGCTCGCGGGACGGCAGCTCTGCAGGATCAGGGCTGACTGTGCGTCTGCCGGACATGAAAACACCCAGGGCTTGGGAGAGGGCCCATGGGTGCGCCTGGCCCCTGGGGTCTTGCTTCTGCATGTCCAGGCGGACAGAGCCTGAGCTGCACTAGGGACGCTGAAAAGGGCAACTGGGTAACGGCTGAAAATCTCAGGGCTTCCATGCTGTGGGCTGAGCCTGCAGCGCAGCCGGCTCCCTGGGAGCACAGCTGGCTGGCCCACCCCCGGGAGTCCAGTCACATCTGTGCCACGGACCTGTAGGTTGGTCCTTGCCAAGTGCTGGGTGCTGTACAGGGAAGGCGCTTTAAGGGAACACACTGCATGTCTGGGGCTGAGACGCTGCGATTTCTGTGGGCACCAGTGTCAGGGGCTGAAGACCCCAGCGGAGCCAGTGGCTAGGGAGGGCCTAGTGCTAAGGCCCTACCGAATTCATGAGCCATTTCCCAGTCCCTGGTAAATGCCATGACCCTGAAATTCCATGGTGCTCTGACTGTGCGGCCCCGGCCCACAAAGGGGCTGTGTGGGGCGCAAGGTTCTCGTAGGGGGTTGGGTATCGCTACCCTCACTTCTGCAGAGCCGGGCAGCTGGACAGCAACGGCTGCTGGCCAGGCAGCTCTGACGGCCGAGTGGCCGCCAGCAGCAGGAGGACAAGGGGACGTCTTGCCACCCTCACTTCTGTGCTGCTGCCTTCGTCAGCAGCCGCCACACTGATCACTCAGCGCCGAAAGCAGCAGCCCAGCAGGAAGGACGACACGGGGATGGCGTAACCACCCTGGCTTCTGTGCTGCTGCTGGGTGCTGCCTTCGGAGCTGGGCACCCGGCCAACATTCCACCCTCCGCTCTCCAGCTGCCGGCTCTGTAGCAAAACTGTGACCCCCTAAAATAACCTTGCAACCCCTGTCTGGGTCAGGACCCGCAGCTTGAGACACGCTGCCCCCATGACGTCGGTGTCCCACGGAGTAAATGTGCACACAGGAAGACACCAGACTTCCCGGCTGCCAGGCGCTGTGCGGGGCTGAATTTGGTGGGGCCCTACCTATTGCTCAGCTGCAAGAGAAGCTGGGGCTGGCTCAGCCCAGAGGGCGCTGGAGCGGCTGCAGGGCTGGGGCTGCCAGGGAGAAGGCAGCTGGGGCAGACACAGAAATGGCTCCCTCTTGACAACATGCCGACTCCCAGTCCCGGGTGCCCATCTGGCACGAGCGCTCATGGAGCTTGAGGAGAGCGGCCGGGGTTCCATCTTCCCATGCTGGTGCCCTCGGAGCCCTCCCGGCTCTGAGCCTAGACAGCAAAGGACACCAACACGTAATTAGCATTGACCAAGCTGCTGGTGTCCCTCTCACTTCCTGCTCACAACAGCTCGAAGGCGCCTCTTCCATCCACGCGCAGAGTGCACCACGATGTGCGCTGACACCTGTGCGAGTGTCACCACCAGCAGAAACACAAACTGATCAGCTGAGCGGCATTCGAATCGCTCCTCCGTGGCTGCGCAAGCGCCCAGATCACAGGGAGCGCAGCTGCACCATTGAGCAGACTTGCTGAGGGGCGATTGTGGGGAATTTCACACACAGCTTACAGCTCCCCAGAATCAGCAACTGAAACCACAGTGGTATAACGTCGGGCGCTCGTAGGTCTTTAAGGGAAACTGGTGGCAAATGACCTTCTTCCCCTCCCTCTGCCAGAGGACCTAAAGGAATCGTTCCAGGAAGCCGTGAGAAATGCCAGGAAAACGATTCTCGGCCCGCTGTCTCCCAGCTGCAACACGCTCCACACCGTGCAGAAGGGATTGTACAAGATGCTGCCAGAGAATTCTCACCAGGTGGCTTCGGGGCGGCTGCACATTTCCCTCACGCGCGTGACGGATGGACAGAATGTCATGGTGTCCGAGTTCAGTTCTAAGGAGGACCTGATCCAGGTAACAGGGCTTTCTCTGCTGAGTTCCTGCGGGAGAGGGGGATCCCACAGCGCTGAGCTCCATGCACACGGGCAGGCAGCAGGAAGAGAGATCTGCTGTTCTGGCCTGCTCCAGAGATTCCACCCGGGGCCTGGGCTCGGAGGCAGCACATTACGCTACAAACACCAGATGTGACCCAAAGTTCTCATTGGTGCTGCTCCTGGAAACAACTTGCTCTCGTGCGTGGTGGCTGCAGGGGCATCCCTCAGCTGTTCCCTCCATCCCCATTGCCAGGACTTTTAACTATCGCAGGCTGCGACCTCTTCATCCCAGCCACGCTGCGTTCCAAACCGGGGTCCTTGTCTTGGTGACTAAAGGGACCAAGTCTCCGTGTCTCTGGAGCCCACCTCGTCAGATGCTTGGAGCGGAAGCTCCAGTCTGGCAGGGCTGTATCACACCTACAGAGGTGGGCCTGTTACATCGGTGCTAAGGAGGCTCATTCGGTCAGGGCGCTGGCCCACTTCCTGCTGTTGATAAGAAAGTGAGACTGCCTAAGGGGAAATTACTTTTTGTAACGAGCGAGCCGGTCCCAGTCCCTGGACAGACCCATCCTGACCGCATCACACAGTAACAGGCTGGAAATTGCCAGACTTCAGCAAAAAACCCTTCAAAACCAGATTGCAGCGTGAAACTGACGAGCTGGAATTCATGTGCAAAACTGGCACCGTCAGGATGGGTCTGTCCAGGGACTGGGACCGGCTCGCTCGTTACAAAAAGTAATTTCCCCTTAGGCAGTCTCACTTTCTTATCAACAGCAGGAAGCGGGCCAGCGCCCTGACAGAATTAGCCTCGTTAGCATGGAGACACCACCCCTCTGCCAGACTGGAGTTTCCCCTCCATGTGCTGACAAAGTAGGTTCCAGCCCACGACAGCTTGTACCTGAATAAATCTGTTTAGTCCTTAAGTTGCCACAGGACTCCAGGCGGGTTTTGCGGAAACAGACTAGTTACTGCCCCTGAGAGTTGTGCATTGTGAGCCTGGCCGTGCGCTGATTAGACTGGAAGGCTGACGACGGAAAGCAGCCCCAGGGAAGACCCATGGTGGGGGTGGGAGACGGGAGGTGTTTGGTTTATGAACAAAGAACAAAGGGCTGCTATGACAGATCTGGCATTGCCAAGGGGCACAGGGGCTCTTACCATTAAGGAGGCAAAGGACGGCTCCCTTGCACCGTGCATGGCAGCTCACAGGCACGCCTGAGTGACGCGCTGGAGAGATGTGGGATGAGCGTTTGAGTCAATGCAGAGTTCTTGGAGCCATGCCGGTCCCAGGACACTCGCCAGACCAGCTGGGAAAGGGAATGTTTTTTACTGGATCAGTTTTGATTTCTCTCCCCAACAGAGGTTGGTCCAAGAAAAGGCATTGCCTCCTCGCCTCATCTCTCTCCTACCCCTGGAGTCTCTTGCAGGCAGTGCCCTGTTGCACCACATCCCCGTGCAACAGAACAGCGCCCGTAAGAAACGTAAGGCACCTTCACCCGGCTTTCACTTGCAGTGTGGGGTGGCCATGTTGGTGACCAGGGAACAGGGTGAAGCAGGAACGTCTTTTATTGGACCCTCTTCTGGTGGTGAACGAGACAAACGTCTTCAGAACCAGCGTGTGGCGCTCACGAGCGTCTCTCCCCCAGAAGTCGGCTCAATAGAAGGTGACCTCAGGCACCTGGTCTGGCCTCCCGTCCGAGTGTAAGTGGTGAGCAGCTGTGGGCTGAGTTCTGGGAGTGCCCACTGGGAACTCCTGTGCGGCCTGCTGAGCTGCCGAGGGACACCGGGCCCTGCGCGGACTGACGGGGAGTTCTTGTGTCGCCCATGGCCGGTGGAGCCAGGGAGCTGGGACGCAGAGGCAGGGCTCTCCCACACCAAGGGCAGATGGTAGCACGGTGCCTCCCAGGAAGCCACACAAATGGTACAATGCCTGCTCCTGGATTTGGAGAGCCCAGGCGCCTGGACACAAGAGCCTGTCACAGGGCCAAGGAAAGCACCGTGGCGCGGTTCAGAGCAGATGCACCATCCCGGAGGGTGAGGCGTTTAAAGCCAGAAAGGGGATGGAAGTGGGCAGGGGAGACGGGGCGGCGTGACCGGTGCTTGGAGGGAGATGGAAGTGTTGCAATTACCAGGAGGGAAGGGGCTTGGTGCTTACGTATAATGAGGCATGTTACACCAAAGCCTCCCAGATATTCCTGTCCCTTGGCCATGGCCTGTTACTACGGACGCGCCGTTGCTCTATGGAGCCTGGAGGGAGACTCGCCTTCCCAAGCAAGTCAGCTGTCAGCCCCCTAACGCGCTGGCCGGAAACGAGGCCTCATCTCCCTACCGGTGACAGGCAGGGGAAAGCTGCACCCCGGGAGCCACTGGGATTTAGCCCAGTTCTTCCCAGTACCTGCCCTGATTTCACACCATCCCACATCTAAAGTCTGGGGGCGAGCAGGTCACAAACATTCCCGAGGAACGTTTTCCAGCTGGACAATGCCGATTTGATCCGCTGGGCACGTGCGGATTTCGTGCCGTTTCCAACAGTTTCACTGTGATAAGGTTGAAGAGCCGTGTTCAGACTTTGCCGTTCCCACCCTTGTTCTATTAGCTGAGCAGTGGAGCTCACAGGCACGTCTTGGCGACGGGTAGTTTCGATAGGAGAGTGCTGGGGGTTTAGTGCTGCGGGAATTGGGAGGGAGACGTGTGGTGGCATGAAAGGCGTTTGGAAAGTCAGCCGGCCCCCAATGCAGTTAGATCTGACTGGCTCTGGTTTGGGTCTGGATCGCAGCGCACGGTGGCGCGGGAACATTCTGTAAGGGTGGGGGTGCTGGCCCCCGATGCCCCTCTCCTGCCCTCCATCTGAGGCCGGGAGCAAAGCCCTGGCTTGCAGGGCAGCCGCTGGGGCCTGGGGTAAGCAGCAGATCTCCCAGCATGTGGGGCTGAAGCAGAGGCCTGGGTAAAAGGGCAGCAGCGAGGACCCTGGGAGCTAGGCCGGGTGCACCCCCCCCCCCCCAGTTCCTGTGCCCACAGCAGCCCGTCAGCTCCAGTTTCTCTCTGAGCAATAAATCCAGACTTGGGGAGGCGGAGGAGCACTGCACGATATTCGCTAACGCTTCCCTGCTTCCCTTCTGGCAGGCACTGATCTGCAGCTGCTTCGTTCCCATCTACTGTGGCTTCATCCCTCCCTCCTTCCGAGGCGTGGTGAGTGCGCTAGCAACTAGTCCAGGGGTCACGGCTTCGCTTCCCGCCTGGCTCTGCTCTCAGATTCCTAAGGCCAGATCCCCAGCTGGCATAAACACTGGCTGAGGGGCCGTCCATCCCACACGTCTAAAGGCTGCAATGGGCCGTCAAGTCAGGCCCCCAGCAAAACTAAGCCTCTGAATCTCACCCAGGAAGTCCCTGGGGCGGGCTGGCCTAGAGCTCTTGGAATCTAGCTGCTGGGGGTTCATTTGGCTTATTACGGTTCCGACTACGTGTGGGCTGCTCAGTTTCAGCCCCTATGAATGTGCCTGCGAGTTTGCGGGTTCCTTGAGCGGCGCATGGACAGGAGCAAAGGCCAATCGTACCCAGGGAGTTGAATTCAGCTCAGGGGAGGCTGCTTGGAGCTGCCTGGGGGCTGGCTCCAGACAGACACGGTCGGCCTATGGCCTGCTGCAGAGAAGCACCAGGTGAGGGTGTCGCCTGTAAATTCGGGGCTCTCGGCCCTGGGTACAGACGTTCCAGGCCGGACAAACAGGGTGTTCCAGCGGAGTGGCTGGGACAGCCCCTCCCACGCAGGCTAACCCGCCCCCCGCGTCTCTAGAATCGGGGTAACAAGCCGCCGCTTGTGTCGGCAGGGGCCGGGGGGCCGGGC